TACCATAGTTACACTACTTCTATCTTTGGAGCTAAAAATCATTGAGATTGCTAAAAGTCTATTTTCTTGTAGTCGAGAACGTTAGGTCGATAAGTTTTTGACGTCCTCATCGCGTTGTGTTTTTATGTTCACTTGATTTTGTTGACTTTCAGTTTGTAACATTATAGTATGTGTTTGGTAAAAAAGGTTAAAACAGAAAAGAATAGATTGAAAAGGATAAAGGAGATAGAATTATACACTCTCCTTCTCCAACGTTCGAAAATAATTATGGGATAAGAAGATGATCATTTTCACGATATAGACGACATGAAAATTGAACATTCCATGCTCCATATGCATATATACATTGAGTCAAAGCAAGCAACTTAACATTTTTAAGAAGCTGATCAACAAGAAACACATGGGCTGTTTTGGTGGTCCTGATCAATCCTGAAGATAAGAATAAAGCATTAATTATGAGCAGATTTTGATCCTCATGATCACAAGACTTACGATAAAAGCAGATATTTGAGGTAAGGAACAAAGTTCAATAAAAGATGTACATCGATCCAGGCTAGAATAATCCAAGACTCAGTGCGTAGCTACCAGGATTAGTTGTTAGCACCAAGTTAATTGGTTGCAGTTGGCAATTATCTTTTAAGCTTTCTAACCGTAACAATCGGTGGTCGAGAAAGAAAACTACCATGGAAATTTACCTTTTTTTTGGTACATAAGAGGCAAGGGCTAAAGGATTAAAGGGAAATTGAGAAAGAAAAATTTGCAAATGTTAAGAATCGAAAGCAGTTCCTAAGAAATATGAGTGAAGCATTTGGCTAAATCCATGTTATCAATCTTATATTCCAGCCATTATTATGCATATAAATCCAACTTTGTCCTTTGCTGCCATCAGCGATAAGTTCCTACTTAAAATAGAAATCAAGCTTTCAAAAGCATGTTTACAAGCAGATAGGCCCGGGTAGGGATTTATTTTGTCCGACCAAAAGAATCGATTTATGATCCATCAGCCATGGGCTTGAAAGCACACTATTTAGCGAAAGTGAATTTGTTCAACTTTTTCATCAATTATGCTTACTTTTAGACAAGTTTTCTCAACCACCGCACATGGGAAAAGGCAGAAAGTAACAACCACACACATTCCAAATTCAATGTAAAGCTATGAGCCATTTTGCATAAATCAAGTTCACCTCCTTTCGCGGGCTACAATATCATGTTCATGTATTTTTCCCTTGACATCTGGCCATGTACCCGTAAGTAAACCTAAATTTAGTGGTATTAAACTAATCCATCAGAAAATTAAAAATGGTCCACATATTATCTTGCTGAAAACCCTGGCTTTGACCTTAAAAGTATGAGATTTGCAACAGATCATACACAAAACAAGCAAAGCAAAAGGAGCCCCAATTATCTGTATTTATAAACTTGAAAAAGAACCCTTTAATCCTGATTGTCAGATTTGTTGATTACCCATTTAAAGCAGAAGACCTCAGATTATCATCGTCAAGTAGTTTTCAGATAAGATGGGATAGAGGTTTGTTCTCTATTCATGGACCAATTCGGGACACTTTTTTTGATCTCTTTAAGGTTAAACAATCTGGTTTAGGGCTGAGGAATGTTATCCACCTGTCTCCATCATTCATGTGAAGATATAAAGCACCAAACGGTTGATCAAAGGAGCTTTGTAATTAGTAGACAATATGTTACATCTCAATAACTATTTTCTTGTTGCAATCGCAAGTTAACCTCTCCTCAATCTTTATGTACAAATTCCATATGCACCAACTTAATTAATTAATGAGTTAACTTATTATTTTAATTAATTTTAGTGATTAATGAAATATTTAATATGTCCTTTTAACCTGAGATGTCATAATATCTTAAAACCATTGCTGAATTATCAGCTTCACATTGGTCGTTTTAAGTAAAATTAAAAGCATGCTGATATAGATTTGGATTTGAAATTTTAATTAAGCACCTTAGGTTTCATTTGTTTTACTTAGGTGCATAATACAGTGACAATTTTCACTTTTTTTTGCTTGTTCATCGAATCTCATACATTCTTTTTATCGATAGAAAATTGTTAATTATTAATCCTTCTAAGCTTACGAGCTTGACTCACTATGATATGTAAATATATAAGGATAATTCGAGAGAAAGACTTGGCTCTTTTCAATTTTGAGTTTTAAGCTTCATTTAGATAGATAGTGAGATTATTTTTAATGAGATTAAAAATAATTGTAAAAAAATTATAACGATGAGATTAAAAGTAATGACAAGATATATATTTGGATGTAAATATAGCGATTAAATGAAATAAAAATGAAAAATAACTATTAAAGACTTATGATATAAGGTAAAAATGAAAAAAAAAAAAGGTTCAGAAAGATAAAATTGAAAAAAAAAATAGTGAGATTATTTTTAATGAGATTAAAAATAACTGTAAAAAAAATTAATTATTATAACGATGAGATTAAAAGTAATGACAAGATATATATTTGGATGTAAATATAGCGATTAAATGAAATAAAAATGAAAAATAACTATTAAAGACTTATGATATAAGGTAAAAATGAAAAAAAAAAAAAAGGTTCAGAAAGATAAAATTGAAAAAAAAAAAGTGTGGTGGGACTATATAATTTTCACTAGAGCTTTTAGCTCCAATTGCTGAATGACACTAATCGTACCTCAAAGATGGAATCCAAACAAAAAAATAATGGGTTTGAAGTGAAAAAGGCAAGCAAATCTCACCGCACTGATGATTCAATGAGATCCAATACGGTGAGATCCAAATAGAGCCTTGGACTAGATCTCACTACTTCTCATTTTTCACTAATCCTACCACCCTACAAGATAGAGATCATTTTCCACGTCTCTCTCTAGTTTAAGACTCAAGACTTGATCGATTGGATTAGGATTCGTACCAATATTAGGAGATTAAGATCAAAATTAATTATTATAAACTAATATTGAATTATTTTGTCAATATTTTAATTTTATTAAATATTATTATTATAATTTTAATTTTTGTTAATTTTTAGATAAAAATAATAAAATCAACGAAATTATACCATGTACATTAATAAAATAATCAATGAAATATTTTAATTTTATTATTTTTATCTAACAAAATTGAAAGAATAGTGATAAAATTCAATAATAAAACTTAATATAAAATCATAATATAAAGTCGAATTTGAATTTAAGCTCTGAATATTGATATCTTGTTGAAAGTTTCAAATTGTTCCTTTATGAAAGTGAAATAGGTAAGATTAATAGAATTTGGTGTAAATTTATGTACCCTTTGAAAAAAAAAATGTTAAGCTAAGCACGCAAAAATTTCCATCTTTTAACTTTTTCTGTTCATTCTAATTTCTAAATAAGTACTAGAATTTCGTTTTAATAAGTAACTTTTAAGTGAAATCAAGGTTCAAGACTTGCAATTATCAAAATTTTTTTCCTTCAAAGAATTCATAGCTTTCCAAATAGTTTGATTGATCATATATACTTCAACTTGTGGGTTGTTTATTAAACATCATACTTAAAATCAATTGGTAATAGATGAAGTCCATTTGAATATAAAATTATAAAATATTAAATATTTATTAATTATGAGATTATATCACTTTAATAGGCCTTTATCACGTATAGATGAAAAAAAAAAATATATTATGTAATATATTTGAAAAAAGCAACGAAAAAAAAATTGACTCTGTATTATATTAGCATTCAACTTAAAATTAATTAATAATAAGTGAAAGAGTCTAACTTGAATATAAAATTATAAGATATTAAATATTTATTAAATATGATATTGCATCACTTTAACATTGTTCACGACAGAATATATTCGAAACTGACATCTAAAATATTACCTCATAATTCTATGCTTCAGTCTTCATGTATGTAATAAACAAGTGGGTTTTTTCTAGCATTTCTTAATTGGATGCCAAATCTTCAATTGCAAATTGTGCATGTGTGTGTGTATATATATATATATAGCTAGATTCATTCTCAGTAACGAATATATTTTTAATACTTAAAGTTGCCGAAAATCGATGGTAATCACAACATCTGTTATATATAATAATTAAGTACTAAGTAAGTAAGTACAAAGTGTGTACATGTAAAAACTAGTACACAAATACAAATTCAGGATCGCTGAAAACTGATCAAAAGATCACATATCACTAGAATTATTAATCATTCTTTACAAGTAGTAGTTAAACTAGTAGATTATAATTACCCAAACTCTGCTTTAGCAGAAACCCTATTCCTAGAGCATTTCCTGGTATTTGTTACCTGTGGAATCAACTCTATCAAGCTTGAAACGTTCTCGGACATTTGAAATATAGCTTGTGGCCTTGAAGTCCACGTTTTCTTCGCCATGACCCCAAGTGTCATTTGCATAGCCATTCTGGTCGTAGAAACTAGGTGGCTTGAAGGTAGCATAAGACACCTTTTGCATTGATGATGAAAGATTTGCAACATTCTTCTGTTCATGGAAACTAATTGGCTGATTGGAGGTGGCATAGGAATAGGTAGACACCCTTGGAATTGTCGAATAGTTTGCCATGTTCTGGCCCGTGAAAACACCTGCAGAAGAAACGTTTGGCATTGATGGCGAGCAAGGAACTACCTTGCTGCTTCCGCTAATATTACCACCACGTTGAGTGTTCCACGGCTTGGTGATTCGAGAGAAAGACTTGGCTAGCTTGCCTTTGAAGAACCCCCTCTTTTGAGTTGCCTCCATTTGAGTTATCTAACAATAACAAAACAGAGACTGCTAAACTCTTTTAGTAGAAGAACCTGAGAAGAGATGGTTTGGTTGGTTTGTAGTTGCTCATAACGATGGGCAAACTCTCCTTTATAAATACCAGAGAGCGTTGTGCCTTCGAATATATGATCCGATGCAATGCATCATCCAATCAACTCGTATTTGATGCAACAATCTCCCTCTAGAATCTAGTTCTAGTGACTGAAGGAACCAATAATTGACTAAAGAAACTAATATAAAAGAATTTGTTGTGTGAATTGAGCAAAAGTGGGTTTTGCTTTTCAGATAAACATTAAACCCCTAGCTGGCCCACGCCGTCCTTCAACTAAAAAATCAAAATCAATCACTTTATCAATCCCACACCGAGTAGGGACTGGTTTTATTGTGCTTTCAACCGTCTTTCAAGATGTGGTCTGCTGATCAGAACTTGCCCTGGATACTTCCGCACCACCCCCCCCCTATGAAAAGATACGAGGCTTTCTTTTGCTTTTCCAGGACTGTGATATGTTACATACGTAACCCAATTCTAAAGCAAAGATTTGATCTTCACAGAAAATTCCTAAGCCTAATTTTGTTCATTATCAAAATCAGTTTGAACGTAGAACAACTTAGTCAAACTCGGTGGCATACAAAGAGCAGAATTTCTTCTAAAAAACAGGAAATTTCCGCGTCTAACAATGGAACCCATTTAGGCATTTTACCTAACCGAAAGAGTTTGATCCATTGATGCTTAAATCTTCAATCCTATTGAGTTATATATGACATGTTTCGTGTTTAGGCCCTGTTCTGTATTTCTTTTAAGGAATAAACCGTCGCCCATGTCTGGCATCTAGAGATATGGGATGGTTTATCACAGTCAAAAATGCTGTTAAAGAATATGCCACGACATCAGAAATTGTCTCAATCCCGACTGGTCTAGAACCTTTTTTTTTTTTTTACTGTCTTATGTGTTGCTCGGTAATAGCACTTGATTCTAACCGATCTGTTCTCATCTGCCTTAAATGGAAATACGTGAAAGACAAAAGGAATTATAAAGAGGGGAAAGGATGAACACAGATAATCTTAAACTTTGGTTCTCCCGTCTATGAAATACATCGGAAAGCATTTGAAGATGACCCATTGAAGTCACTGCTTAAACAAGGCTACATAATTATTCTAAACGAAAAATACACAATGTACATACATTTGCATCTCCAAAATGCCACTGCTTAAACGGCAAAACATTATAATTTCTGGGATAAGCATATGTAGATAATTACTCAAACCATCTGGTTTTAAAGTAGATGGAAATGACACATACTACTCCCATGAGAAGGAAAGTGTCTGGTGAGTACCACTTGCAGATGACCCGGGATGCCCGGTTCCTAACATTTCAAGACCATGGAGGTTGGTGTTACCACTTCCATCAGTGGCAACAATAGTTCCTACTTGTTCACCCTGCATTCCAAGACCATTATATTGCAAGTTCGGTGTCAAGGATGAAGCTGGGCCAGACTGCACCATGGGGCTCAAAGCAATTTCCCGAGTCTCAGCTGGTTGGGATGACAGAAGAGAGAGAGCACGATTAGAGTCGATGACTTGATTTAACCCATTTGAGAACATTTTCTGGCTGCTGCCACCATTCTTTGATGAGGGATTGCTATCAAGAAGCGGCTGACAAACAGAAACTCCAGGAAATGACGAACTAGAACTTTGTAAGAATGATAACTGCTTTTCTCCTTTGTAGTTGTGAGAAGAGGATCCAGGGAACAGATTATTTCTGCCGCTGAAGTTCAACTCCGAGCTTCTATCGGTTTCCACTTTCACAGCCCCCGCCCAAGAACAGGTTATAGCGTTAGTGGAAAACATTTGCGGGCTACTGAAAGGTAAATATCTAGTACCTGCAGCAGAGTCACATTTATAGCAAACAGAACAAAATACATCACAGATAAGCTCCTACATGGGAATATCAAGGCAACTGGTTAAATTCTTTTTCTGCTCATGAAAAATGAGGGTGAAACAAGTTTCTTATTTGGACATTAAAAATCCAGCCAAACCTGGGTGATTGGAAAGAAACCTTCCAGAATTTACAGACAAAGAATCAGGTTGAGGCTTTCTCCGTCGTCGGTTGTGTCCATCAAGACGTTTCCTGCAGCTTCGTTTCCCCTCATCAAACTCCACTAACGAATGAAACCTAATAAAATGCATTCACCAGAAACTAAGTTCTTACAGCAAAAAGGTATATATGAGGTCAAGGGGCACTTCTAATTATTACCATCTGCATAAAGCAATTCTAATTATTACCTGCTGCACTGCTGGCAAAATCGTTGTTCCTGACCCCTAACTGTAACTTTTGGGGTCTTAGAGTGGACTTCGCATACTTTATGGCGTCGATGGTAGTCCCTGCATTTGCTGAGGTCTGCAGTGCAACCGTCAACCAAGCATGAAGGTACCTGGTTTCCGCTGCCAGGTGCCCGAGCCCTTTTAAACGAAGTAGAAGATGACGAGTCCATCAACGGGACCCCAGGACCCTTAAAGTATCTCCAAAATCACCCAAACTTTCAGTCCGAAAATGCAAGCCAAGCCTGATTCACCCACCGAGCTACTGGACTTGAAAGCTCAATATTCCTGCAACATTCAGCTTACCTTCAATCCGCCTCAAATCATAGTCCATCAACATTTCTGTTTTTCTGATTTTCCATTCTTCATTCCCATCACCTTAATCAAATTCTTCTCCTCCTGAACTCAAATTCCTGCACCAATTATCAAATCGTTCTTCATAATACTGTGTGATCAGAATTAGAAGCAAACAAACATTCGATGACTAAAATACTTGCTTTCACAAGAAAATACATAGCAGACACACCAAAAACAAATGCTTCTTTTCTACCTTTTGTTTCGAAATTATAATTATAAAATTACATTTGGAAGAGTTAGGTGTATGTAATACATACTGTTACAAACTTTTTTCTCCTTTCAAGAAGAATTGCTGGAAGGGGATTGGTCGTGTTGAAGCTCATAATGTGGTGCCTAAGACAAATGACTCCTCATATGTGACCAAATCTAGAGTAGTTGACAATTTATTGCAATTAATAATAATAAGTTTTAATTGGACAAATGAAATCTTCAAGGGGATGCAGAGTTAATGTCTCAAAGATTAATCATGACCTAACTTCCAATACCAATGGAAGAAGCCTACTCAGGTCTTTCCTTGTCCTAGTTGTAGTGTCCACGAAGCAAACATACAAGGAAGAAATATGCAGAAAAAGAGGCTCAAGGAAGTGGTGGAAGAGAGGGCCTTAATCGTCATTGCACCGCCATAATAAAAGCAACTTTATGGTGTTCGCAAGCCGGATACCTGTCACATCATTGAAGTCAGCACTCACATCACAACCACGCAAGCAGCACGGTAGATATTTTTGGAAAACAAAGAAAGAAAGGCATTTACCACAAAATTAGTTTTTCTAACAAGATTCAAACTAAACAAAATCCCAATTACGCTAAAAAATATATTCATCAACTGAAACGTTGTAGAAGTAGTATATTATTCACGTTCCGAGCTAGAAGCTGTGCTTGACTAGTAGTAGTACCAGTTGTAGTAGTATTTTTTTTTTAAGTAGGTACTTCCCAAAGTAGAGAACATTTTTTCTTTGAAGGTCGAGCAAAAGTTGATATTACCACTTTCAATGACAGAAAAATGGAAGAAGACCATATGGGTCATTTTACCCCGTGATATAATTAACATAAATCTACAGTCAATTTCCTAATAGAATGCGGTACTTTGAATTTCTTTATTGAACTTGAACGATATACTTCTAGCATACAAAATACTTATAAAAAATAAAAGGGTCAGTCTAAAAAAGAAAGATAAGTTAAGGGTACCTGAGAGATTGGCCAAAAAAAGGGGGTACCGGAGAGAATCCCACAAATCTAGCAGAGATGAGGAATCTTATCTTGGTAACTTCTGCACTGCCAGTTTCAGATAAACCGTCAAAAGGAGGAGAGAAACGTGGGAAAGTAGAACTGAAAATTTAGTAGGAATTGGAGAACTGGGAAACTGTAGAGTGGAAGCAATTGTAGACAAGTTACAGAAGGTAAAAGAAAGAAAGAAAGAAAGAAGGAAGCAGAAAAGAAGCAGACAGGCCTTTCTTTCAATTCTTAGCTAGCCATTAATATTCTGACAACAGTTCCATCAGAAGAAGAGTTTAGCAACGAAAGAAAGAGAAAGAGTGAGTGTTTGTTGGATGGCTTTGTTGAAGTATATGACAGAAGAAGCGATGGAGCTAATCCATGAGGAAATTATTGGAAGTAACGCAGAGAGAAATGGTCCAAATGGATAATGTATTCAACTGATGGACAGAAAGCGAGAGATATGAAATTGGCAAAGAAGATAACCATGAACGATAAGGGTTTTACTAAATAAATGGGGCGAGAAACTAAAAGAAAAAAAAAGAAGCAAGGAAAAAACAAAAGAGTGGCAGGGTGTAGTTGCTTTCAAGCTTTTAAACTGAGGAAAAAGGAAAAGTACAGAGGGGGAAGGATAGGGGAGTGGAAAAGAAAGTCATGATGAGAGTTTCTTTTGTTCAACACTCCATAATGTTTGTTTGTTTGTTCCTTCTTCTGGGGTCTTTACACTTTACTCTTTACTCTTTGGGTTCCCTTGAATCTTCAACTAAAACTTTTATCCATTGAGTTTAAAAAGAAAAAAAAACAAACTGTTGTCCATTGGATTTTCAGACTATAGTTTTTTTTTTTTTTTGAAGGTCTCTTGTCTTTCAGATATTTCAATCATGTCAAACCTTTCAAAATACGTGAAAAAGCCTAATCGAACTATTTTTTTTGTTTGTCTTTTCCCGATTCTTTTCTTTGGTCCCTTAAAGGCTGATTTTTTTTTGTAAGTTGTATTTTATTTATTTAAAAGAAGTAATAAAATTGTTACAGTATATATATTTTATATATCTAATCAAATTATATTTTAATTATTATGTAATATAATTTTATTTATATTTTACGTATCACACATATTGACTGAATCAGCAATAATCAAATATAATTCATATAATCAATTTTTAACAATTTTTTTAATCATTTCATATACTTATTTTTTTTTGAATAATTTGTGATTCTTTTCTTTCTATATATAGTATATATGAACATTCAAAATAATGCGTAATACTACTGATATCAATGTCTTGTTTTTTATTTTTATCATTGTCCCTTTCAATTTTTCAATCTACTCTTCGATTACTTTGTTAATCTTACATGATTGTAATATCTTTTCTTCACATTATTTTTGTATATTCACGATAAAAAAATAAGTGATCTCTAGATTCTCTCTCATGTTGACATAGGTAACATCTTTCCTCTATCTCTATTCTTTAATTTTTCAATCTATCTTTTATTTTAAGCCTATTTAATATAATCATTCATGTAATCATCGAATGCTTCGAGATATGATACTAAAATCAAATTAATCTATCACTCAACTTTTCGTTGCTTAGACTTTATTTCATTTTAAACTGTTGCAATAAAATAACTATTTTAGGGACACCTCACACCTTAATATCATTTTTTTTTATTTTATAAATTGGTGTGCAATATTATTTTTTGATTATAATTTTATACTCATTTAAATTTAACATGGAATAAATAAAGTTCAATCCTTAAAATCATTAAAATAATATTTTTTTCAAAGTACTTTCATTCTATTCTTCTAGGTAAATTTTTTTTATAAAGTGTATCCATCGACCAAGAAAGTTTTTACATAATAATATTTTGTAATTTCTAAGTTTTCGTTATAATAAAAAAAATTCATAAATTTAATTTTATAAATAAAAAATATATTTTTATTTTTAATGAAGTATGATAATTTATTTAAATATTATCACTAAAAAGACGATCTTGGAATTATTAGGCATTTGACTCGGTGATCATAAGCTTGATTATGATTTAAACAATTACTAATTATAATTTAAGTTACTAATATTTATTTGAACTGTTAATAAAATGTTTAATTTTTAATTTTAGTAACTAAAATACAATTATTAATAGTTTTATGTATAAAAAAAAAAGAATATAAGTGATACATGGCTTTATAAAATACTTCCAAGTTTATTTATAAATAATTCCTTGTTGCATTAATGGGTGGTTGGCTAAGTTTAGGCGTACAAGGATGCCTAAATTTCAAATAGGAAGTAAAATGAAAGACATTTAAGAGTTCATTGATGCATGGTATGGTCCGACGTCCAAAATTCATGGACATTTATGGTCGTATCATTTTGAATCTTAATAATACATCCAATTTCTTTTTCCAAACTAGTTTTATTTCACAACATGCAAGTACATGCATGAGTTTTTTTTTTTTTTTTTGGAAATCAGAAATTCAATAGAGCTAGAATGTGAAGAATTAAGAATAGAGAACTTCTTGATTTTGGGTTATAATGATTGAGGTTTTTTATTTTTTCTACAAATAAAGTTGTAGTAATAACAGAGAAAATAATTATAAAAAATAATTTTAAATTTTAAACTTATTTAATACTATTTTTAAAAATAATTACAAGTCTAACATAAAAATGACGGATCTATCTTTTTAAGTAGAATATTCATAGACATCTTCAAAGTTTAAAAAATTAAAAAAAAAATTAAAATTTTTTACACTCTCAAAAATTTTTATAAAATATTATTTTTATCAATAAAATTGATAAATATGTCGATAATTTTTTATATAAATTATAAGTGAACATCCGAAAAAAAAAATTAAATGAGGGTCAGAGACTTTCTTTTTTTTTTTTGTGTGTGTGTGTGTGTTGTGATGATGATTTCAATGTAGGAAAAAAATCACAAACATGTTTGATCCAATGTGGAAAAAATGAGTTGCAATTAATTGGTAGATCTTTCCACCAAACTTAAGTTATCAACTTTGTGGAGTCGGTTACGAGAATCCATACCTTAAATTGGATTTGGAACCCCCACCTTCCTCTCTTTAAACTTGAATTTCAAATATCATTCAACATTCCAAATTAATAAACAACATTTCACTAATTAATTATGCATTTTCATTTGAAATAATTTTTGTGAATATCAAATATTTCTACTTATAAAAATTAAATTATTGTATTATATATCAAATAGACAGTTTTTACTATTAGTACTCCCAATTATTGTTTTTATATATATTAAAATAAAAATATTCGAATTCAATTTTTTTAAAAAATACATTAATTATTAAGCTAAATAGGAAATATTTTAATTTTTTTCTTTAAACAATTAGCCTTTAACAAAATTAAAAATTAAATCTAAAGCTTATAAACTCAATTGATTATATATAATTATTTTTTAAAAAATAATATTTAATATGTTTAAAATTCAAATAATAATAATTATAATCGCTTCTTTTATTATGAAACTATAACTTTTTTAGTATAAAAAAATTTAAAATTAGCTAAGCAAATGACTTAAATCATATAATCTTCTCAAAATTATAACAATTTTAGGTATAAGTGAATTTACAATAATTGGTGCTATTTTTGGGTATAAATACATTTTTTTTCTTATGCCATTCATAAATGAAAAAAAAAAAAATACGACTAAGAGAAAATTACACACAACTGAAACTAAAAAAATAAAATTATTGGACTGAGAGGGTACTGCCCTTATATGAGGCCATGGCACATCATATTCGTACATATACGTGCCATCAACTCCTATACATCTCCACTCTCAACTAAAAAGGTTTGCTTTGAAAAGTCGTTCTCATGTTTTGTCTTTTAACTGACTTTAAAACCGTAGCTTAGCTTCATCGAATGGTCAGTTTTCACTCAGATTTCATACATAATTGACTCGGAAAAAAAAAAAAAAAAAAAGCTCGTTTCCTTTCGTTGAGATGACATTATTATATGTACGGCTTTAAACCAATTAAATATGAATTAATAAATATATATTTATGATTTATTTACTTATTTTTAAAGATGTTTAGATTTAGTTTGTGTTTGATGAAAATTTATTTTAATTGTTTAGAGTCGATTCATTTAAATAATAAATTATTTATATTTAATTTAATTAAGTTAAATGAATTCGTTCATGAATATTAAATAAATATATTTATAAATATATATAAATAAAAAAAATTTTTAATCCGTATAATGTATGAGGTCTTTTAATTAAAATTTTCATAATTTTAAATTTATTTTTTTAATTTTTATCTAATATATAATCATGTATTTATAAATATTAAGGTACAATTCAATGATAAATTATACATAATATATTATAAATGATATTGTTCAAGTAAAAAAAGTTTAAATTGTTGTAAATTTTCAAGAATTATAAAAAAAAATTTTCATTAAAAATATTTTATTTAATTTATTTTTTAAATACTAAAAATTTTGCTACTGTTTTTTTTTTTGATAAAAAATCAAGAATTAATATTTAAATAATTAAAATTAATATGTTATAATTATTTACTTTTTATTAGTTTTTATTTTTGATATACTTCAAGTAATTATTATACAAATATATTGAGCTAACAATTATTTTTATATATTTCAACAAAATAAAGTTATTTTTTAGATAAAAAAGAAATAATAATTCTTTATGTTATGTTTTAAAAAAATTGAAATTTTTTTTATTTTTAATCATTTTTAATATAATTGATAGTATTTTTTGTGAGTAAGATATAGCAGTGATCATCATTCTTCTCATATAATCCATTGTAAATAAAGAAATTCAATAATAAAAAGTATAGCAAAAGGAATTAGAGAATATAAATTTATATATTAATTTATCAATATTAAATATATACAATAATAAAAGCAAATAGGTTAATAAATTAACAAAGAATAAAAACATTGAAGAAATGAACAAAACAAAAAAAATATATATATAATACAAAAAGTTAATTACAATCAATCTAAACAAAATTAAAAAAGAGTTATGAACTAAAAAGAAACAAATAAATTAACCAAATATATAATATAAAAATTTTTGAATTAGAATATAAATAAAACATTATATTTGTTTTTAAAGTAAAAATATATTTTTATGTAACTTTTTTATTAGCTTTCAAATGTCTCATATTTTCATATAAAAATATAAGCTTTTATTACTTTAAAAATACATGCTTTCTAGTCAATAATTCATTAACTTATCTAAAATTATTAAATTTAAATAATCTATTAAAAATTTTCAATTTTTGATAGATTTTGATTTGAATTTAAATAATTATCTAAAAATATTAAATTTAAATAATTTATTAAATAGAAGTATTTGACAAAAAATAAAATTTTATTAAATATATATTTGGAACAGCCATTAATTTTAAAAGGAAAAAATAAATTCTGATTTATTATATTTAAATTCAAATATTCTGTAAAATTTTCAATATTAGATAAATATTGATTTTAATTCAAATAATTATCCAAAATATTCAATTTAAATAATTTATTAAAAATTTTATATGATAAATAAAATAATATAAATATTATCTTATATGTCATTAAAAGAGATTATCCACCTAAATATTCACATAAGTAATTTTGATCATGTAATCTTGTATATTATAATATAATATATATTAGATATGTTTATCAATAATAAATAAATTATAATCAAACAAATCTCAAATGAACATAAATGAATCTAAACAAACATAAATAAATTTTAAAATAAAAATAAAATAAAATAAAATAATTTTATTAATATTATTATAAATAAATAATAAATGAATGAATGAATTCTAAATAAATTTTAAATTATTTTATTCACAAATGTAAATAAATTAAATAAAATTTTATTCATATTAAGTTATTTAATAAATAAATATAAAAATATAATTTAAAATTATTTATTAAATTTAATAATTAAATATAAATTAAATATTTTCACAAATAACTCATCAAAAAATATTTTCGATTATACCCTAATTATAGAATAGCTTAGCTGTTTGACCTTTCGGCCTGTCTTGAGATTCCACATATAATTATGAGCTACAAAAATGGAAACTAGGTAGTGGCCCGTTATGATGATAACCGTATCGCAGCCAACTAGGTGTGTGTGCGCCTAGGTGCAATAAAAAGAATTGCCTTTGGCTTTCGAAACTGTTGCACCATTTCCACCTTTTAGATTTCTATATGTTTGTTTCGTTTTGAAGAAATGAATAGATAAAGAGAGAGGGTACTGGTGCCCTCCTTCCCTCACCAAAGTTAATGGTCTCCTTCGTAAAAGTTAACAAAAGTAGATGAAACAAAACAAAACAAAATAAAGTCCTACAACTTTTTTATTACTCTTTTCTTTTATTTATTTATTTTTTTAAGATGTCTCCAAATTATATATATTTTTTAAATATCTAAAATTTTTAATTTTTTAATTTTTAATAATTATTTTTATGATTTTTTTATTTCTTAATATTAAAAATTATGAAAATTTAATTTTATAAAAAATTTAAATTTTAATATTCAATATATTAAAATTAAAATTTTATTTAAATTTTATAAAAATCAATACATGATAAATATTTTAAGACGAGGAGGTATTATATTACATATGATCATTATCATCATGCTTGATTTTAAAGTTAACTCATAAGTATAGGAGGAATATTCCATATGGAAAGGCCTAAATGTACTAATAAAATATTACTATTACCCCTAATTATTAATCATAATTAAAATTACGAGATTAATTATTAGTATGCATTAACATCCCAAAAGGTAGGCACATGGTTTGGGCAGAATGTGACATAACTATGCACACCAAACAGTCCAAGGAGAAGGAGGAATGATCTATCTAACTGCTAAATGCTTTGGTTGATACAAACGGGGAGACAGAAAAGAGCTAAGACGACCCAATCCCAACGTATATATCTACGTTCTAATGCACCCTGTTGATCAAACGAATTTATTTCACCTCGTCCTTTTTTCCACACATTTACTGAATACTGAAGTTTTTTCATAAAAAATATATTGTGATACGAAAATAAATAAAAGGTTGTAGATATTTAAACTTCAACTCGTTAAATATTATTTCTGATGATATTTTTAATAAATTTGTTTGGATCTATTTTTAAAATTATATTGAACTGCTTAAAAAAAGTTTTTCCTTCTTTCTTTTGGGACAGAAAAAAATTCAAATTTCAATGTTTAATCTTCTTTAAGCAAAATACTTGAAACTCTGATCAGGTATGAAAACCCCTCTTTCTCCTGTGATTTGGTGAAAAATTCCAATACCCTCTTACTTAATTTTATTTATTTAACTATGTATGCCGGATAGTGCTACATCAAAACTAAAGTTGGTGGGAGAAAAGCAGTAAATTTTTCTTACAATAAATAGAATGCTTCTTAAAGTCATTTGGGTTCCACCTATTCACAACTAACCACCAATATCAGACCAACTAACCAAATAAAAGTCTCAGCTATAGCAAAGGTGAACGCTTGGCAACGTTTAGGAACTCTATAGATCAGTTCAGTTGGTCCGGACAGTGTCCCGAATAGCACAAAAATCAGTGTTTGTTTTGTTTTCCCTTCCGGACCAGATGCTAACTTAATTAACAACAACCCAAGCTTCGATTGGTCAAGCACAGCCCTTTAACCAAGAAAAATAAATGAAAAACAAGGTAAAAGTAGAGAAGGTTAACCACACCATCGGCATGGTTGTTGATTGGTTACTTCCATTGGCCACTTCATGGTTATCTTGGACGACAGTATAACAACTGATCTCTAATGACTGGGGGTTTCTTACAAACTGAGAAGCCGTTGAGAATGTTGGGTGAAAGTACAAAATCTTTTTTGTCCCAATTATAAATCCGTTTCTGCCTGTGTATGCAAGTGCAACAAATTTAAATTAATGATTCCGAGCTATGCCTGGAATTGCATCCTTATGCCACAGAACCATTCTGGAAATAAAAGAAAAAATTGGGTTAGACACAGAATTGATCAGACCCACAATGTGCTCTCCTAAAAATATCCTTGGAAATTAACCAAGCTCATATAAAAGTGAATTGTAAATCATACTACAGCATCTACCTTCGATTGAAGGATCTTTTGGCTGTCGATGAAATATTGGTTTGGATGATTGATACCAGCATCGCATGATGAGCCATGAACAGCTTCAAATGTTAAGGTACATGCCAACTGCACACATTTCACCATTGCTCACAACTTATGAATTTCTATGTCAATAAACCATTTTAGCTTAAAACACCTCAGAGTAAGGTTAAAAAGATAATCTTATGACCTGATAATGCCTATTGTGCACTTTGTCCATTACATCCTCTACCACGCGACTGCCTACTCCCATTCTTGCAAGTGCAGCCCTTAAATTCTCCTCGCTGTCATGTAAAAATAGCAAGTAATACAACATGTAAAATTGAGTGCAGATGCCTATATAGTACTGTTATAAGCTATTGTATCAATAAAACTCCAACATTTGCAATATGACTGATAAATTGATTAAAAATAACAAATTAAAGCTATTTGTTATCTGTTGTTGTCTTTAGACTTGAAATTGGTAACAAAATCAGAGAGATATAGCGACAATTTTGTAATGGTCACTGCTAACCCTAGTTTTCTACAGCTACTTTACCGAGTTAAGCTTGTTTTGATTAGGAAAAACCAAACCAAACCAGTATAGTTTAACCCTAGGAGACTATCTAAGTGATGTTTTATAAGAGGAACACCATTCCCTATGAAGGCTAAGCAAACTCTCCTTAACAAAGAAACCTGGTTACAATATTGACCTGAAATGCCTATAGGGGCAGCCATGATGATCCCCAACGCCAGGAGTTGACGAGATAATTTTTTGACAGGAATAAGGTGTATAATCCTGCAAGAACCATCAAAGGATTATGATTAAAGGGATTTAACAAACACTCAAATTCCAAAGACGAACAAAAAGGCCAAAAAACTCAGACCTGAAAATAAAAAATCAAAAGTAAACAAATTTTCTGTTGTTTCTGAAGTGACTCTGAATATCTTTACTAATCCAAATTTGATACACATCACAGTTTTAAATAGGGATAAGATGGTATCTTACTGTTCTCTTCCCTTCTCTTCCATAATTATGGCGTATGTTGTATGCATATTCTTTGTCAAACCTCTCTGCACCAACCTGTAAGAAGAAATAATTTTGTTTTAATTACACAGAATTCCACTGCATGGACAGCAAGAAACAGCATTGGAAGCTAAAAAATGCTAAAACTAAATAAAATATCACAATATTCAGATATTTATTATGGAGAGGGGAAAATTGAGGGAGCGGGCTATCCATTACACATGACAATAAGACTTCCATACTTGGAAGCTGTTAGATACGGAAATAAATATATGTTACAAATGCGCATGGTTAAATATTTCTTTTTTTCCTTTTTGTCTTTGTCCATCTTGTGGTTGACAATAAAGGAAATCCAAATAAGTTTCTCTAAGAAACAGAGAATGAAAACTACAAGGTAAACAAAATACTGCTGCGGTACTTACATACAGTAACAAAATACCTGTTTAGCAAACCACTTACCTTGGGTACGAACTCAGCTTTCCAAAATGCTAGGGCATCATCGAGCTTCAGCCCAACACCCTGAGCAGAGAAGGAAAGGAAAAATAAAGACAGAATCATGAGAAAAAAGAGGAAACACACCCAAGAGAACATTTTCATGGTTTATCAGCATGCAATATTTACAGGTGATAATATTGACCCCATATTAGTTAACTTTAGAGTTTACTGTGACATTTAATTGAAGTTGAACCTCTCCACCTATTATCAATCAGTTTGAGGTTGGAGGTTCCACACCACACACAAACAATGTGTATGAACACAAGCACTAATGCATATCCAGCCATGAGACAGGAGAACCATGTCTGATTTCCAGGGAAAACATCTTTATAATGCTACTGGTACAGGCAACTACACTGAAGACATCCATGTAAGTAGTAAAGAACAACCTTCAAAAAAAGACCTAATTGCATCCTTCCTCCATGCTTTAAATGATGATCCTCTCTAACCTGAGACGTAAAAAGATGTAGCAGAATTATTTTATTAAAAAAAAGAAGAAAAAGAAGAGACAATTGAAGACAATGATAACCATGATTTTGCAATCCAATTTCTTACCTTCTCAAATAGATAGCGCATACAGAGAGGAAATGAAGTCTTAGAAATTTGATCAATGTCCTTAATAGATATCTCTGCAAATTCTTTTGGCTAAAAATTCCAGCCAATCGAGTTCAGAAAAATAAGCTTAAACATAAAACACCTAAAATCAGAATAGTTGATGAGCTGATACAATGATGTACAAGCACCTGAGAATAATCAGGACCTAAATAGCTTGTGCATAAGGCTTCCACAATCTAAACAGTAAATCAGGTGAAAAAAAGAATACGGTCAAATATCAAACAAAAGGATCTTTAAATAAAAAGGTTCACATTCCAATACTCACTGGAGCCAGGCGATCCTTCTCTTGTTCTCTGATGGTTGATGTCCATTTTCTGCAAGTAATAATTGCAAAGTCAGACACTTGGTAAATACCTTAAAATTTGTATGGACAAAGCAAAAATTGCACAAGAGGAAAAGGAAAAGGAAAAGAAGTTCATCAGCAGAAACTTGGATGTAACACAAACTTTCTTTACCTTTTAAGAATACTAATACAATGTTTCATCAAAATAGAGATTAAACTAATTACTATGATGGATTTCAGCACCTGTGTTCGGGTAAACTTGAACTTTTTTAGAACATACTAAGAAGATGCACTATGACAAACTATGAAAGAAAATGTCAGCATGTTCCCTTGTATTTGGGGTTATGACCAAGGATGAGAAGAAAGTAAGTCCTGTGTTCCAAAATATTTGCTGTCTACCAGAATGATGATGATGGCAAGAAGACCAACTACTGCTTCTAGTGGATGTGGGGATTATGATAGCAGCATGGATATTTTAACAAACAGGTTCCAGTAATTAGCATGAAACATATTACCAACCAACAATAAAAACACATGTAATGAAAATTATGCATGTAACCCAAAAATTGATTTTGAAGTAACAAACTATTGTGTAAACTACATATGTCAATGTCATGATATGCAATTCAGCCAATGAAATTTGGGATATATGCAGATCTTATAAATCAAGTTGACACACTAGTCTTAATGTATATCAGACATATTCATTGCTTGACAAAGGCTGCCAATGTTCAAAAATAAAACATGCAAGGCAAGTTTCTGGAGCCCTTAACAGACAAAGAAGAAACCTGTTTGTTAAAATGAGTGCCTTTGATAGATTACTTCGAAATTGTGTCACAACAAGAGAAACCACCTGAAAAGATTAAACAGAAGAAGGGACAGATGGCAAGTATAAAAGTTAATTCATGTTGATTATATTCAATATTTTTTTAGGTAAGATTCAAAGATTAGTAGGAAGTTATAAAGACTACCTGATTCATAGCAACATATGCATGTCCTTTATGTATAAACACCCGACGACCAGCTACAAGTTCTGGAACTTCTTCAAAGGGCACCTTCATAGGGGAAAACACGCACAAGTGAGTCAGGTAAACCTAGCAACTATATCAGATTTTTATCCAAGGACTAACACTGGACCTAAGAAGACTGACTATGAGACCATATGTATTCTATCTGAACCACACATCACCAACCAAGAATGATAGTACATTTAACACTGGTCAGCACATGGCTACAGGCGATCACTTCCCGAAAATTTCTTCTTCACAAGGGTAAGCTACAACTGCATTCGTTTGAAATGTAAGAGAAGAATCAAGAAAACACAATTGTACCTTGTAGAATATTGCATCAGCTGTAAAAAGAAGAGAACAAAAGAAAAGGAATCCAATCACAATATAGACAAAGCATTAAAAAAGTTTTATTTTAAAGATAATTATAGTTTTATGACTTAGAAAAGCATATCAATTGACATTCTGAAGAAAAAATGAAACAGAATCAGTCATGGATACCCTTTGTCAGCCTCAACATTTCATTCTAAAACCAAACTAATTGATATAACCCCAGCACAATAGTCCAGAATATAAAAAATGATAAGTTCAATCAAGGATATGAATGGTTATGCTTCAAATTGAACCTCACAGGTGAAGGATTCCGAATATTTGAAAATAAAGGAGACATATAAACAATTTCATAACAGTAAAACTTGTTGATGCTGTTAGGCGTTAGTTTTCAAGCATCTTGGTGAAGCCTGACTGTAACTGAAAAATATAGCAGCCATATGACAGCTTTCCTAGAGTTAACCCTTAATGGCATGAAAAACTTTTATAGCCACCACATTCAATGATAGATGTTAAGCCTGACTGTAACTGAAAAATATAGCAGCCATATGACAGCTTTCCTAGAGTTAACCCTTAATGGCATGAAAAACTTTTATAGCCACCACATTCAATGATAGATGTTAAGCCCGCTGTAAACAAAACCAGCAGCCTATTCAATGTTGGTTGAATCAGTAGAGATTCAATCAACAAGCCGCTGTAAATAAAACCAGCAGCCTATTCAATGTTGGTTGAATCAGTAGAGATTCAATCAACAAGATCTTTAGATTCCAACACATAATGCCAGAAAATATTACTAATATGTTAATTTCTCAAATTGACAACTTTATAATGAGCTTCATTTTTTGACTATTGCCTAATCTACCTACCCCAATTCTTTCTCCATGGAACCCTGTTTACAGTTTCCGGAGAATTCTTTCTTATATCCTTGTTTCACAGTATATTGTCCACAAAAATCATGACAAGAAAACTATAATTCTAGCATAGTAGCCAGCAGAAACTAAAGCATATACATTATAGAGAGGTGGAAATTAACATGGTCCAAATTTAAATGTCATATACATAGCAGAATGACTCAATGCAAGAGAATGAATGTAACAAGACAGAAACTTATGCCTCCCATGTGGAAAATGGCCAACAAAGCCAGACAATAATCTCATACCAGCAGGTAAAGTCTGACCCATAGAGCGTGCAACTTGGCCTAATTTATCCTTTACACTCTGTGAAGAAACAAAATAGCTCCAGTTACTAGGAAATTCGAAATTTAGAGACTTAAAAGGCACCATGTGTGCTATCATAATAAGGTTCATGCAATTGAATCTTGCTAAAAACAAATAGCTCGAAGGACTTAGAAAATAGTGGAGCATGATTACCTCAAATTCTGCATTGCTGACAGGCTTGTACGGAAGCTTAAACTCAGACATCAACACCCTCTATAACATCAGCATAAAAGCAATCAGCCTTAGCTTAATAAACCATAAAACCAGACACCTTGTTGGAATCACACCAAAAAAGAATGAACATGTGCTACCTGTGCCTCAGAGCTTTTAGAATGAAAACGGTAGCGAAAGAGAGCAGTCTCCATGGACAAAAACCATTTTCTTAACTCCTCTCTAACCATAGCAACAAAAACAATAATAATGATGATTATTGTTGTTAATCAATTAAAAAAGAACAAAAGATAAATAACATCAAGAATATCACCATCTTACGTTCTACAATACACAAGACGAAGAACAAAGTGTGATATGACATCCTTGTTCACACCCTCGGTTGCCTCCAGATGTCTCATATTTGCTTTCCAAAGATCCATTGCCTGAGCAAATCCAGTAAGTGAAATTGGAGAGTGAAAACAATTAAATTGTTACCAAAAAAAAAAAAAAGTAAACACAAAGTCAATAGTTTTACCAAATTTTCCATTTCTTCAGGTTTCTTCCCACGGGATAATCCATCGGAGATACCTTTTAGAACTGCATCGAGCAATTAAAAGAAACAGATAGTACAAAATCAAATAATTCATAGAGCTAAATTTTTAAATTTTAATCATGCAATTTAAGTATATTTTGAGAAGCTCCTAACAGAAATAACTAAAATTGTGCTCAAAACCCTAATCTGTAAAGTTCTCAATCCCAGAGAAATCGAACGTTACAAAACCATCAGGAAACCGAAATCTGATACTTTATATTCCACTTCTTTAGTAGCGTTTCGTCGGTAACAAATCAGTAAGTCAAAAAAATTCAAAAAAGAAGCCCCAAACTGTTCATAAGGGTTTTTTTTTTTTTTTTGAAAAATTAAAGGTTTAGAATTAATATCAGAGGAAAATAGGGTACCTCGGAGACGATCCATGGCGAAGAGCTCGAAATCTTCGAGACGGACTTCGAGGGGAGGAGCAGATCGGTAGAGAGGAAGAGTCGAAACGACGACGTCGTTGGAACTCGATTTCCTATCAGATCGAACTACTTCCATTTTCCTTTTCTTTCTTTCTTTCTTTCTAAGTGCAATTCCGATTACTGAACCTATAAACGGCGTTTTTTTCTTTCCTTTGTAGGTAGATGGGAAAAGCGCGCCAAAAGGCTGAAAGCATATGGAAATTGGCGGGAAACGTCCCCCTGAGCTTTATTGATGATTCCTTCCAACTTGGCTATATAAGGCGTCGATCGGTTATATAATTTTAGGATTAATCATTAATGATAATGAATGGTGTTGAATTATAATAAAATATTTAATTTAATATTTAAATTTAAAAATTTTTAATATAATATTTAATTATAAATTTATTAATTAATAAAATATTTATATTAAAATATTATATTTATCTTTAATGTTATTAATTCTAAACAACGATGTAGGATGCATAAATAATTATATATATTAAATTAATTAAAATTTATAATTCAAGTATTAAATTAAAAATTTTAAAATTTAAATATCACATTAATTATTTTATTATAATTTAAAAATTATACATAATATTAATCTATAATTTTATTACAGTTAACAAAGCTAAAGCTTAAAAGATTCTATTGTTTGTTTATAATAATACGTTTTATATAAAATTACCAAAGTTAACATGCTGGTTTGAAAAATATTGTAAAATTGATTTTAAAAGTGTAATGAAAAAATACTATTTAAAAATTTTTAATATTTAAAGTAAAAAATGCTATTAATGTATTAAAATAAATATTTAAAAAATATATAATAAATTTTAGAATTATAGCGATAAAAGTAATATTGCTTTCCAAAAGTGTGTTTAGAGGGTAAACATACTTAATACAAACCAAACTTTTGACCACAAACCACCAAAAATTTCCCCAATTAGCATTAAGGTTGTGATGAAAACAAATTTTTTAGCCAAAAGCCATTTCCAACCTCAATGATAAATGGGACCTAAGTTCAAGATATGCTTATCTTCAAAAGATAATCATAAAAAATATATATATATTTTTGTTAAACAATTTATAAAATAAGAAAAAAGGTAAAAATGTTTTTAGGATGAATTATTAAACTACTAGCAACTTATACATTGTAATCGGGAACCAATGCTCCCTTAAAATTTTGAAAAATTAGGTGAAGGTGCCTGCATTACCTAAGAAGATAAACGAAAAAGAACTTCCCAACCAGCATTTACCACCTAACAAGAATGATATTACCCCTTTATCACACAAATATCACCTCTGCAAAATTCAGCACCCACTCCAATTTTAACTTCTGGCTTGGGCACTACCCTATAATCTTTGTATTGGAGGGACTAAGGGTCTAAGACACCCATGAGACCTGGAAATGCCATCTCCCCCAACATAAAATTATGATCAAGCAGAAATTTAAGTACTATTTTTTAAATGTAAGATTGTCATGGTTCATGGTTGTTGTCTACTTGATCCCATCTGTTGTAGCACAGCGTTTGTCGCACTGCGAGTTCTTGTGAGGAAAGAACCGTTCCCACGTGAAAACATCATCCCAAAGAAACCAGAACCCGAAGACCCATTAGTTTTGTCTTCTGAAGTTCGATTCCTATTGGCAACATCATGGCTACTTGATTCACCAACTTCCTGAAACCAGATATGTAACCATTAAAACCAAAAGGATTCATTTGAAAAAATAACAGGAGAAGGCAATTGTTAGAAAGAGAGAGAGAGGAAACAAAAAGGTTAACCTTAAGGCCTGAGTCAGAGACAGCATTTCTTGGAGATCTCTTAACCTGCCAGAAATTAAATCAGAGAGAAGGGAATTTTACTCGAGGGGAGAAATTTTGTTTTAGACCAAGCATTAGGATTGATTAATAAAATGAATATTTTTCATTATGTTGTTTCCAGAACTACATCAGTAATTTTCTGTTCCTTTAATTCTAATTCAGGACTTTGTAAAGTCAACTAACCTTAGGAGTTCCATTGGAATCAGAAGGAGACGTCGATTCTACTAGTAAAATAGGAGGCAATGACGCAGTCTGCTTAAACACAAAGAAAAGACTTGTTAAAAAACATTACAGGCAGTTTCAACCACTTGGTTATTAGCTTCAGCACAAACTGAATTTTAACATCATTCAAATAAATTGGACAGGGCAAACAAGCAATGCATTGCATCCAATATCAAATGTCCAAGTCTGATTTCTCAGTCACAAGCCTGAGATTGACTGACTCACATTTGGTTGAACGAATTGAAACAAACTGAACAAACTAAGAGTCCATTACGTAGATGCTATTGCTTTTGTTATTTTTCGTAAAGGATTAATGTCATGAATGATCCCTAAATTCTAGTAAAATGTTTAATGTGGTATCTGAACTATAAAAATTTCTAATGTGATACCTGAACTATAAATTTATTAACTAATATGGTACTCACCTCTAACGAGGCTAGCTCCAAATGAAGATACGTGACTAACAAATAACCCTCCAAGTATAACATTAGTTAATAGATTCATAGTTCAAGTACTACATTCGAGACTTTTAAAATTCAGAGATCACATTGAACATTTCACTATAGTTTAAGAGTCATTCATGACATTAATACTTTCGCAAAGAAATGAATAGAATGGAAACAGGAAAATTTGAAAAGAATAGAAAATCAAGGACAAGTAGCAAAAAGCAGAAAACAAAAGGCAAAAGGCATTTAGTAAACAGAGCCTAGATAATAGAAAAACTTTAAAAGGTCAAAAGGCATAAATCTCAAAATTCTACCCTTAAAATGCATGTTCCACATAATCCAAGAGTTTCATTACTTAATTTCTGAACAAGTAATCATTCATCAGACCATGCATTAAAGAGAAAAAGAATCTGACCCTTGATGGTGTTTCCATTGGGGATTCAAGAGCCGGCATGGAGGGACTAGCTGGTGAAGCCTGCAAGATTGAAATAATAATCAGCATTATGAAACATGAGAATAGGAAACAAGTTGAAAGCTAACGTCTAGATTATGTGACCTAAAAACACAACAGTAGAACAATGATTCTGATCAACAGTAATCCAAAAGTAGAAAAATCATCTGTTCTCAAGGTTTGGCTTTGTGTTTAAGCACCACAATCTATTGAAAAGAATAATGAAATCTTGACAAATAGATACTAATGAAAGAAAGAGAGAAATATGATGGAAAACATATAGTTCATTGCAGATCAGATATTTAACCTGAATTAAACAAACCTGAATACGATCAGTGGATATATTCTGTTCCATGGTCTGGGCGTAATCACACAACAATTTTACTCCTTCATTGGTCATGTCCTATGAAGATGACAGAAAACCATACAAATTAACAAAAGCAATAAAAGAAACCACGTTAATATCGCACTGTATCTTTTTGTTGTTAATATAAGAATTACCTGCTTCCCTTCTATTCTGTTAATCTTACTTTCCTGAACAACACCCCCAAACAGAGAGAGAGGGAGAGGGAGAGAGAGAGAGAGAAGTTAATCTTAGTTTCACATCCAGAAAGTATAAACATAACCACATTGCAGCAAATTATAGAAAAATCAATACTTAAAAATGCTTACCAGAGTTTGAACTACATAACAAACAGATTGAACATTGCTGTTGAGCATCTTTGATTTATCTTGTAGCAGAGAAACCTATACAACTCAATCAATTTTCAGTGAATAACAATGAAACCTCCTATATAAGAAACTTAAGCAACTACTACAATCTTATATCTCACCTCATCTTGAGTAATAGCAGTAATATCTGCAATTTCATTCAGGCGATTATCCACACCCTCAATTCTTGAGGATAGATGTCGTCTGGTTACCTAGAAAGGAACAAGAAAAATTAAAAATGAAGAGGTGCAGAGCAGAATTCAGTCAATTTACTAGGAAAAAAAACTGACATGAATTATGGAACTCGTAAACATGTAACTCATTACATGAAACTTTCATGTAGTGTGGCTATTCAGGGATTTAGGCAGTGTATCATATCATATAAAATTAATGAACATATTTAAACGAGAAAAAGTTATGACAATAAGAGAGACTTGCCGAGATTGACGAGTAAACACTCTCAAGCTGCTTGGCTATGGCATCACGTGCATCAGATAAACTACGCCTCGTTGCAAACATCATATCAGGAAGCCTCCAACCCTGAAACCATTCGAGGAATATAACATTAATACCCTAGCTAAGAGTAAAGAAACATTTCTGAAGCAAAAATATATATATATACAGTAAGAATGGCATACAGCAGCAATTCCAGCTTTGGTCTTTTAAAATATACATATATATAATTATGATTTACTAATCACTAAACTGAAATAACAAGAAATTAAAATTCTAAACCATGTGTTTAAATATTTATCTACCAAGCACTTGCAATAGTTTTCTAGAAAACATTTTACATTCTTATGGTGCAAAACTTCACTGTTAACGAATAACCATCAGTTCATCAGCTTCAATTGCTAGTTTGGTCATTCATCACTCTTAACAAATTTCTCACCAACTGCTCAAATATCCAAGGCTTAAGTTGTAGCAAGATCCATACTATGTCTATGTGAAAACCAATTGCTCATCAGTCTTAACTCTTAACAAATTCTTCATTTGAGAAAAAATCAATGAACTCTATAGGTGTATAAAAAGAATGAGAACAAGCCAATTGAAACCATAAAACAGGATTGTACCTTAGATGGCAGAAGAACATACAAGCAAAGTAATGGCCATCTTGAAATTGGCAAAACTATCTACCATGGCCATAGAAAAAATGCAAATAGTGCCAGAAATTTTCATGTGGCTCAATTATCAGAGAATTCAACCATCTTATTAGTTGCTCCATGTACAACCTACACATATTAATACACTCAATGGAATAAAAAGTCATTACCTTCCACCAAACATAGCCATATCCAATTACTACAACAACAATGATTATGCTGTATTTACTGGTACCTGCATGTGGCAGAAACATTCCCCAAAATAATGCTCAGGAACTGGATAGAGTTGAATTTAATTAATCTACATTGGAAGTTATCATGTCTCCAAAAAAATTAAGAATAGAAAGAAAACAGTATTAAACAAAAGGTGTCAGCAGCTAATTAAGAAAAGGGATCCTCATTAGGTGCTCATTTATATTGATCCATAATAGTTGTGCATTGTATAAAAGGATGACGAGAAAATAATTTTGGCATAATTTTGTCAAAAATTATAGTTAGAATGCGTGCCATTTAGTGTAAGATGAACGGCTTCAATATTTTCCCTTCAAATGTCAAAGAATGGAAACAATCATAACCTGCTCCACGTCCAGTTACAATCGTAATTGGTCTGTTTGCTGCCAAGACTTGCAGTTCCTGCCTTAGGCTGTTAACCTGTAAAAGTAAACAAGTTAAAACAAAATATAATTATACAAATTTAAATACAAAAGCAAGTATCATGATAATAGGGAGCCATTACCACTGAAACAACAAGCACACAGAATTAATAACAAAAGGTTCATGAATGCTTAACATTAACAATATTGCTCAAGAAATTGAGAAAAGCACGAAAATACATGGGATAATCAATAATGCATACAAACTTAATCTGCCAGGATTTAAATGAATATAAAAATTTATAGTCTAATAACATTGCCATGTAGCCACCCACTCCTTTGTTACCACTATATTAAAATGTCATAAGAAATTAATCCTCAAGCAAATGCAACCTACTATCATCACTAAAAAAAAAGGTAAAATTATTATTTATAATCATCAACAACACCTGGAGATCACAAATGGCTTTTCAGTCATCAGTTATTTAGCCAAGGGTCTATCCATAAAAGAAAAACAAGAAGAGAGAACTTCATAAAATTCATTTTCATCATTTTTCAATTGGAATTTCAAGTTTCAACCATAACAATCAAACAAGCAGAAATAGTTCCAAATATTAGAAACAATTGCCAATATACCAGATAATTAGATTTTTATTCTGCACTCATAATGGACATAGAAGGTCAAATACAAACCTGAGCCATCAAATAGTCATTGCGTGGCTTGTTTACTGATGGAGTAGAATCATTAAGTTTAAGTTGCCGAAAAGCAAACTGCAGCAGGAGAAAAATTATTACCAAGTTAGCAAGACGGTAAATACACCATCATCTCAAATTCAAATATTTTAAGGAACACAAAAAACTGTCTTTAGTTTTAAGTCATGGCCCAGAAAAGTGGGAAATACCTTGAAAGCACCAGAAACAAAATCAGAAACACTCGACATGTGCCCTTCTTTTGCAAGAACCGATCCAACAATACCTAAAAGACAAACAATAGCTAATGTAATTAGAAAAGGACTTTTGAAATCGCTGAGGCATAGCCAAATTGGTAGCCGCATTACTCCTCTAAAGGGGAATAAACATTAAAATAATAACAAGTTCAAATATGAACGCACTATGTTTGAACATAATTATCAATTCAATGATTCTATCTAATCAATTCATCCAATTTAGAACCCGAAAAAAAGCAAGCTCTGTCTAAGTTAAACTTGGCAGTAGAAGCCTTCTATCTTTTTCTCGATGGTGAAGTGAAGACCAAGCCCATGAGCTTACCATCCCATATCATAACAAGTAGATAGGATCATTTTCCATTGTCAGAAAAGGTGCTTCACAATAGGATAACAAAGTCATTGTTATAATGTATAGGCATTCTAGGTTGATATTGTACTGAACACACGCTTACAATTCCATTGAATATCACACCATCCCACTAGCCTGTTTAATTTACAGTGATCCATTGTGTTTCTAACAATTTCTGTCAAGTGGATCATCTACAGCTAACATAAACAAGCGTCCATCTTTGCATTGCAGTTACAATCCCATTACCACAGCTATGAACCTGGTCCCAAATTCACTATCTAACAAGACACTAAACCTGTAGTACTGTCAGGCGCCAGCTAAAACACCTCAACCTAAACTCCTCTAAAATCCTAATCAATTAACAACATAGCACCAAAACTAGCACACATTCCCTACGAATTCCACAATCAATCAGTACTAAACAGCATAAATCCCAACGACTAAACCCTTCCCAAATCCAGGGTTTATCTAAAACCCTAAATTTAGTTCCAGTAAACCATGGATTAAGGACAAAATCACGGCAGGCTCGTAACGAACTCTCAAAAATCTAAACGATAACTGATTCTTAAGTTAAAAACGAAAATTGGGAGGAGAACGATGATTGCACTGACCTGCACCCACGAGGATAGTTAACTTGCCAAGAGGAAGAGCCATGGCTGACTAAGGTTCGACTGTATGTTTGGAAAGTATGTTTGTACGTAGTGAGCCTATATACGGGACAGTAGAGTCTGCTAAAATTCTATGAGACAAAAAGATTGATTTTCTTTTGATTGCTAGGGTTTGTCGTATCGTTGGGGTTTATTCGATAGGAGCCCTTGAATTTTTTAGAAATCACGAAAAGAGCAACTATGTCAAATAAATATGTCACTATTATCCTGTCACTATTGTCCTGCTTTATAATTATCAATATGTCCTCCTGTGTCTCTCTTTTCACATTTTCTATTAAAGTCTGCATAAGGATTTTTTTTAGTCAAATCAAATGTCCACTTTTTTCAAATAAAAGAAATAAGGATTTTTTTTAAACGAAAAGATATTTTTATAATACAAATATAAGCAAATCAAAATGTGAAATTATTTTTTAAATATAAATATTACTTCAAATAAGTAATAATTAAAATTTATTAGAATGCATTTTAGCATTATGTCACTAAAATAGAAATAATAATATTTTAAAAGGTATTTAATATATTCAAATAAACAAAACAAATAATGTTGATTGACATTTTTTTATCTAATATATATGACTCTTAAAATAAATATAACTTTGAATGTTCTTTGTCTAAACAATATAAGATAAACAATGTTCATGTGTCTAAGAGAAATTTAACATGCAAATATCAATAATAAAGATTCAACAACGATCAATATCACCATGAACTAGGAGCAAAGTTAGGGAGGCAGGCAAGGGCCACAGTCCCCTCAAAAAATTTTCATCTCTCTTATGCTATAGTGTCTGAACCCACTAAAATATTACTTTGACCTTTCTTCTCGTTTAAAACTAGTATTTAGCAACCTCTTTACCCAATTCTTACTTTCGCCCTTATCATCAACTAATCTAAGATATCAACTTACAAAACAATTAAAAAGGAAATCAAAATCAAATTTCTAAAATACCTTCAAGGTGAACTCTTTCATCCTTGCTTGGAAAAAAATTGCAATAGATTAAGTAATGAATGCAATTACCAAAGATAACCTATCAATCTTTGACACCAAACTTACTTTGAGAAACTCCATTTGAGGAATTCCAATACATTGCAATCTATTGAAAAATGTTGTATTTATAGATACAACAAAGTCAAAGTCTTATAGGTTTAATCTTTTAGAATAATGATACAAATTTAAAAAAAAAAAACAACAAATTTTTTTTAAAGAAAATATAATGGTTTTGCTATTTTCCAGGCTTATGTTAGAAAACTTTACAAATTAAATTTTTTCATGAAAGACATAATATAATAAAGATTCATTAACCTAGCAATATAAGTTATAGAGTATCATACTTTAATTTTGGATGCAAGATTCTATTTCTAAAAGTGATTTGCTACCTATAAAAGTATCTAATATAATCAAGTCATGTTTGGTGCATAGAATAATTGATAGGATATTATGATAATTATTATATATTATGTTTGATTTGTATCTAATTGAAAGAGATAAGATTAAAATGATGATTATTATCCTCTTAGTCTAGGATAATTCAATCTTACCAAAGTGGAAAAAATTATTTTTAATCATGAGATTAAATTTATATGTCTTATTATACCCTTAAAAATTATATCAATAATTTAAATTGTATAAATTTTTAAGAAGAATAATTTTGACTAATAAACAAATTATTTTATCTTAATTCTTGCATGCATAAAACATAAGATATGATGATATTATTTAATTTAATCCTATTCTTATCAGATTTTATCATAGTCTTATGTATCAAATATAATCTCAATGTATGATAGATTTAAAAAATACAACATTGAAGTGAGACTTAAATCAAGGATTGCAATTTTTTTGTTTACAAAAATGATAACTTGTACATAGATTATTGCAAAAAATAATGCTAAGATAAAAATGAATCCAAGCATCTATTCTATATATTGAACTCCCAAATAATCATCACCTAAAAGAAATTTAAAGCTTGGTACTTAACTTGTTCACGTCATATTAACTAATGGATGGTAGCATCAGATCCATGCCAAGTCTAGATCCTCTAGAAGCACCGGGTTTAACATGTTTCACCTTAGCAAAATAGTGGTTATCGCGCAAAAGCCTAGTCAGGAAAGTGTTATGGCAAATTGTTAAGCTATCGTACACAACTACCATATCTTTATGTTCCCTTGTTATAGCAACATTCATTTACCAACTATCTCCTAAGAATTTGATAGCTCCTAAAGTGTTTGACTATACCTAAATCAGTAACGGGCATTGCACATCAGTCATAGTTAGATTAGTCAAGCATTTCTATTAATAATTGTATACACTTATTTTTGTTCAGAATGCGATCAATTTCTTGATTCGAGTTTTTTCAAGATCGTTGAGTATTTACTATTATTATTATTATTATTATTGTTGTTGTTGTTATTATTGTTGTTATTATTGTTGTTGTTGTTGTTGTTGTTATTATTATTATTATTATTATTATTATTATTACTTATTAAAAAAAGGGTTAGAAATCTTAAGAATGAAATTAGGGATCTTTGAAATCAATCCTGAAATCCTGTTTGCATGAAATTGGAAATAAAATCAAGGCATTGAACAGAATCATTTTTAAAACCTAATATTAGAGGATCAAATTGGTGATTGAGAGTGAATTAATGCTTACTAAATTAAAGGGAATTAAATGCCTTTATAAACTGGAATCGATCAACACATAAGGGGCTTTGGATTCGTCCTAAGTTACTTTCTTTTGGATCATGTTGTCTGAATATTCTTTTGATGATTTCAGAAAGTTCTTTAGATTTTGGTTTTGGAGTCTTGGTTTTTTTGGGTTTGATTTGTTTTCTAAGAATTCGATTTGAGTTTCTAGGTTTGATTCCCTTTTCTATTGGTTTTCTGGGATTTTTGTTAGAATATTTTATTAGTTCTTAGATCTTTTGGTTTAAATTCGAAAGAAACTGGGTTTTTTTGGAAAAAATTAGGTTTTGTGAGTTTAGGATAAATTTTTTAACAGAGGTTTGAACTTTTATGTGAGATTCACGGTGATCGGATTCTGGGTTCATCTGGTTTCTGGAAAAACTTGCCGTTTGAATTTCACGGCACCGAAAGTTGAGATTTTTGGTTGGAATCTGTGACACTTTAAAATTTTCGGTTGGGGTTTAAACAGAGGTCAGAGAAATATTTTTAAAAAGAGAGAATAATATAATGGCTTTAGAAGAAATAAGCAAAATTTTGGTTTTTATACGATATCAACACTACAGCATTTTAAATAACCTTAACTAGTGCATAAACCCATTGACCCATGTGTTGGACCCGACCTGATCGTAGGTTTTTCTTTTTTTCATTTATATTTATTTATTTTATTTTCTATTTCATTTTATTTTTTATTTTACTTCTATTTTATTTTTCTAATTTCATTTATTATCATTATTATTGTTTTCTTTTAAATTTTATATAAATTTCATGTTTTTCCTAAATAATAATAATAAAAAGATATAATAAAAAATGTTTCTAAAGAGAATTCATGAATTTTATCAAACTATTAGATATTTCTTCATGAATTTAATTTTTTTATGAATTCTACCAAACTATTGAAGAATTTTATAAATCAATTTTCATTAAAAAAAGTGTTAATAAAATATTTAATATTTTATCATAACAAACTATTTGAGGATTTGTATTTTAAATTAAATCTTACTAAATTATTGAAAGATTTAATATATTTTCTAAAAAAAAATCTTATAATAAAATCTTACCAAACTATTGGAAGATTTGCATCAAAGTAAATCTTACCAAACTATTAAAAAATTTTATCGATTATTTCTTTAACTAAAATTTAAATGAATCCGACGATTGAGCCTCTTCATGATGGGACACTAGTCTTTATGAATACTCATGATGTGAAAGAATTATCTTAAATTGCTACCAATATATTGGAGTAATTTTAAGATTAATTTTTAATATTAAATATTTTGATAAATCATAAATATGGTTAAGGCTTGGATAATTTAAAATCAAACTGCTACCATCCTTTAGATGGGTGCTGTGAGGGTGCTATGAGGGTGCTATAATTTTTTCCACGCTTAACCACACTCCCAAATCTGAAATCTAGTTTCGTGGACTAAAATCTACTATTTAAATATACCTAAATCAATATTGGAACTCCTCTTTAAATATGACAGATTCAATCAAGTGACCAATCATACTTAAACAATTAAGATTGGTGATAACTCTTTTAATCTATGTTTAGCTATAGGTCAACAGATATGTACGTTATGACAGTTTGGCGACTCCACTGGGGACATCGAGAATCAGGCCGATAAATGATTTCTTGTTATCCAAGCCTAACCTAATAAATTTGAGATTTTTTTCTTTTTCTTTTTTTCCTTGGTTATATCTTATTTAGCTATTTATTTATTCATTTTTATATATCTGTCATTTATTTACATATGTATAACACGAGCTCTATACCTGAGTTCTATCTTTTAGGAAAAAGTAAAGTACCTACACCTTCGTGAGATTTTATATCTCCACATGGGCTAGCGACATACTCCCACTTAAATTAAACCACTTTTATTTGTACCTTATAATGAGTAAGGATTAGGGTGTCTCACTAGTCTGTAATAGACAATGATGTAAGAAATAATTTAAAAACCCTTAGACTATCAAACCTTTGAATATAAATAAATCCTAAGGGTCTGAACCTAAGCTAGAGTCATGTTTTTTCTTATGTTAGAAAATCCTAAATACGACACATGATTGGATGTTTATTTTACTTGTAAGCTTATGTATTGTCTTTTTTATATATATGTTTTTTTTTTACATACTAACCCTATATGTTAGTCTTTGTATTTATATATTATTTTTTGTGCCTACTAACCATTTTCTTTTACTATGCATTCACATCATTAGATTCATCATAAATTTGTCATAAAATAATTTGAACAAGGAATGTCTTAGTTACATTCATGAAAAGCCTAGCAAAGTCCTCTATTGACCTGAAAAGGGAGTCTAAAGAGTTGAAGCTTGCAAACAAAAGGCTAAAAAAGGAAGTTCAAATACTTGAACAAGAAAATGATAAATTTAAGAGTTTGTTCACTGACCTTAATACAACACGGTCATCCACTAATTGATAACTGACCTAACTTTTGAAAGAAAATAGATAGTTGCAAGTAAAGCTACAAGAAAAGGATGAAATGCTTTCTGAAACACAAAGGCATATC